ATAAAACAAGCTGTTAAGTAATTTCAGTCCAGTCTTCAAATCAATTTGTTCTCAGTTTTCAGTTAAGATTTTTTCTCAAATTAAACGGTAATTTATGACACTTAGAGCTTCGTTGAAAAGGAAAACAGTTCATGTTTTTAGGCAAAAAGTTTAAAGCAACAAGATTCGTAAACATACTAAACATTAAATATTCAAAGCAAACTTGTCGTATAATACGTATATTTCACGATTTCCCATAGTAAATCAATCCTTCTCATTTCTTCAAACAAAATTGCTTCAAGCTTGTTGTGTATGAAACGATGTTCCAAATACATGTGTTTTAAAATTGAAATCTTGCTCATCCCACTCCTGCACGCAATCAGCCATATTTTTGAGATCAGTGAGGATGACCGCCCACTCAACATCGTTGGTGACCGACGCCCGCGCTCATTGATGAACGTTAGACTTGGCTAGTGCTTTAGTCTCCCCGGGTGTAAATAGCCGGGGGCAATTAGTACCCTCGTACGGCGCTTCGCGCTGTCGGCTCGGGGATAATTCCACGGGGTTTACAGATATCCACTGGACAGTTTTCCAAAACCCAAGTTCAAAGTCGGGATCACGTCAGGGTGGCGATAAAACATAAGACCTTTGAAAAGGGATACGAACTCAATTTCGACAATGAACTATACGTCATCACGGCGGTGTTTCTGGGAGATCGCAACATGTACAGCATTAGGGATCCAGAGGATGGGGAAAACATTTTAGGAAGATATTCGGAACAGGAATTATCTTTAGACTTAAATAAAAATGGAAACCATGGATATGCATGACTTGTTCAACGACCAACCGGAAGGTAGTGGTGGAGCCGAAGGAGGTGAGGACGAAACGGTAATTGACGAAGATGATTTCATCGATCCTTTCGACCAAATCGTTTAAGAACTAGATGAAGTGAAGACATCTAGTTACCGTAAGGAGAACGAAGGAGAAAAACACAAAAGAAGGAAGGAGCAGTTAAATAGACTATACGTCATCGGAAAATTTAATTACATAAAGTGAGAGTTTGCCAGAAGATTGTTTAGAAGTGAATACCGAATAGATCTGACCGACTGGCAAAATTCCAGGGAATTTATCTCTCGTTTGGACATCACTAAATATAAGCTGACATTCGACGGAACTGAAGTTGGATACATTGATACGGGTGGTGCGTACAGAATGTCTGGAAATAAAAAAAATTCCGGATCTGTGACAAAGTTCAGAAAGCAATATGAAAAAGCACTTGTAGAACATAAGAAAAAATTTCGTAGCGTGATTGAAGAGGAGACCCAGGGAGAGGCATCGGGAGCGAATGTAGAGGATATTTACGAAGACGACGTAGAGGAACTCCAAAGGGAAGTAACCGTACAGGGTGACGATCTTGTGGAACAGGCAAAAAAATTGCAGGACGAAGGAAAAATAGCGGAACAAGAAAGGAGAGAGTTTGCAGGAGTAACGCTACCCAAGGGTCCACCTGAAGATAAGATTCAGCACGTGAACATGTTGATGAAGGATTGGAAGAATAATATGGAAAGTAACACGGACGCCGATAGACGAAGGATTACGGAAAATGCCGTCGGTGTTGCAAAACGTGTCATCGACAACGCAGAGCTGGAAATGGGACGGGTTCCACATTCGGAAAGCAAAACATCGTTATAGGGAATCGGTAAGTGAAAACGTTCGAACTAAATTCGAAAGATTTAAGATTTGGCCCACACAAAACATGGGAGCACTTGCTGCCATCTCCATTTCCATCGCCGTTATCATTACCACTATCGTGGAAGCCGGAAAAAGATCCGTCATCGCAGCATTTGAGCGACTGGGTGCCGCCAGAAAAGCGTTGGCAAAGATTGCAAAAGCTTCACTGCCAATCCTGGTACCTATTCTAAATTTGTTAAGTACGATCCTAGGTTGGGGAGCCAAAGGTCATGCCTTCCTCGCCAAGAATTTGTGGATTGTGGCGATCGTGATTGCAGGAGCTGTTTTCAGATACCTACAGAACAGACGTAAAAAGAAGTAAGGTACTATAATAAAACATAATGAAACGAACGGTTGAACTTATGCCTGATTTCCGACGTATGAACAAGGCAGGATTCATCGGAGATAGGACCAGACACGTCCTAACTTTCAACCCTAACCCTGCCAAACCCGGACAAGAAATTTATGTTAATATTCCAAAGCTAAAAGCCGACTCCGTTCTCGTACCGGACAGTATGGCTTTGGTCTTCGACTTTAAGAACAGTAACACAAAATCCTGGTTCATAAACAACTTTGGAAAGCTACTCCAAAAAAGACTGGAGATTCGCCTTGCAGGAGAAAAGGTTTACGACAACAGTGGAGAAAGCTTGCTGTTGGTCTACAAAGACCTATGGTTACACAGGAAACAGCGTAACGACATGGTGGAGGATGGTATTGCTGGCGAAGTCACAAGGAAAAAAAACAAAGACGATGCTGCAAACGACGATGAGGATGCTACCGCATTGTTCGAAGTATGGACTTTACTACACCCCACACAATATGGCAAACGATCTACAGTATGTCATAACCCTACGAGCGGCAGATGAAATCATGAACGCACAGGGTGGGGAAAATGTGGAAGGGTATACCCTGGAAAACATTGAGTTGGAGTACGAATCCATCGGCAACACCGAATTGGCAAGAAAAGTGGAAAATCAGTACAATGCCGGACGCAAGCTGTCTTGCGAACACGTCATCCTGATGAAAAAGACAGAATAGAGTAAGGACTCCACCATTATCAACGAAACGATCAACGTGCCACACAGAAGCATAAAAGCCATTGTCATGTTGTTTAGGAACAAGACAAAGACAGACAGTGAAGAATATGTTTACCCCAACATCGATAAGTTAGGGTAATCATGGAAGGTGTGCCCAACGCAGTTTATAGTCAAGGCATTCCGAAAACAAGACTGTACGAAGAGGCAAGACGATTGTTTGGAACCGGTGAAATCAGTCATCAAACACTAACCAACTTTTTCAAAGACAAAAAGTTCGCGCTGGTCATCGATCTCAGAACCGTAAACGATGTCAGTACGTTCGGAAACGGTGCTAAAATTCAGAACACTCAGTCCGGAATACTGGTGGAAATCACGAAAAAAGCTACAACTGCGAACGTCGTATGTCACATGTTCGTCCTTTCCGACTGTGTCATCGGAATGGCAAACGGACAACTCACAGGAGTACAGTACTAAAATTTAGAGATCACAATTTTTTCCAAACCTAAAAGGTCTGGAAAATTTTCATACTTAGTTGTCAGTGTCGGTCTTTGGTTCTTCTTCGGAAGGTGGTGGTCGTTCGGGAGTTCTTCGGTAAACATGCTTTACGGTCGTCACTCCACTGCTAACAATCCCCAAATAGGGTATGTATGGGGACAGCTTTCCCACCACGCTTTTGACATCCCTCCTGAACAGTTTGTCCTGATGTTCCGTCTTCAGTTCTTCCCCACTGTCCACAATGTTGATGGCTTCGATAAGACCGAAAAATTTATCGATCAGGGCTTCCGTCAGCACAATGTTTGCCTTTTCCCTTTGTGCGACGATGTAGTCCTTCCTGACCTTCATGATGACTTTTCCGGATGCTTTCCTGAGATATTTTTCAGACTGAGTAATCTCCCCGGCGTTGGACAGGCGGATAAGCTCCGCTCTACAGTCTTCAATCTCCGTATTTTCTGCGGACGGTAATTCCGGTTTCATCTCTTTTATTATAATATCGGAATCTTTACCTCGTGACTGAACGGATGAATCAGATTCAGCTCAAGATGAGCGTATTTGTTATCTTTTAGCTTTCCCTCACTGGATTTCATCTCCGCACCACCAACGAAGAGATATTCGTCCAATATTGTTACATCATAACTGCAACAGACTTGTTGGAACAATCTTTTGACAAGTCTGATAATATCAACGTGATTGTTACAAGTTGTTAACAAGTTGTAGCAAGCTTGTTGGCATTATCAGACTTGTCACAAGGTTGTTTTAACTAGTCTGATACAGTCATGATATAACACGAATGTTACAAAGTTGACGACACAACTTTGTAACAATATTGTAATATCATAACTGTACTGGACTTGTTTGAACAATCTTGCAACAAGTCTGATATTATCAACATGATTGTTACAAGTTGTTAACAGATTTTTCCATACTTGTTGACACCTGGGGACAAGCAGTGCGAACACAACTTGTTGACGACTTGTTGGCAGACTTGCTACAAGATGTCAGATTTTTTGTGTGTGTAGGTTAGCTTAGGCCTTCATATTCTCCTACCTCTTATGGTGATCGTGCTGCTTTCCTTTGCCGTTTTCTGAGCTCCGCCATCATCAATGATTGCATGACATGTATATGTCCCGGCATGTCGGTTTTTCTCGATACTTTTAATAGTTAAAACTTTATTAAAGAGTGACAACACCACGCCGTTCACCTTATCGAACACATTGCTTGTTGCCCCCACGAGGTCTGTTTTCTTCCATCGATATGTCGGTGTTGGACTGATAGAAATAGAAGCAAAATGTTATATGTAAGACTGAGTGCAATGGGTGTCTCTATCAGTTCTAATCTGGATCAAAATGCGAGAACTTGAAATCTAGTCCAGTTTCGAATTGGATCTCATACGAATAAATCACTGCTTAAAATGAGGTGAATTAATTTTGATCCGGTCCTAGGACTGAATTAATTTTGATCTCAGAACTGGATCGAATATACTTCACCAGATGTCCAGAATTATCATATGCGAAAAATAAAGCAATATTGTTGGCTAATTCATGAGAATTATTAATGCGTTTGAAATTTTCTAGAGGTCTTCTCTTTCGTTCTCTCTAGAGGTCCAGTAACGATCTTTTATTGATTCAGTGTTCCTATACCGGAGGAAACCTAAACTAGCTAACTTTATTATAAACTGGATAGCTTCGTCATTTCTAAACTGTTTTTTCTAGAGGTCCAGTAAGAGTCATCTCGTATTGATTCAGTGTTCCTACAGGAGTAAACCTAAACTAAACAAACTTTTTTAATACTGGATAGCTTCATCAGTTCTAAACTGTTCTTGCTAGAGGTCCAGTAAGAGTCATCTCGTACTGATCCAGTGTTCCTACAGGAGGAAACCTAAACTAATTTAACTTTATTTATACTGTATAGCTTCATCAGTTCTAAACTGTTCTTTCTAGAGGTCCAGTAAGAGTCATCTCGTACTGATCCAGTGTTCCTACAGGAGGAAACCTAAACTAAACTAACTTTATTTATACTGGATAGCTCTATCAGTTCTAAATTGTTTTCTCTAGATGTCCAGTGAGTACCATCTCTTATTGATCCAGTGTTACTGCAGGAGGAAACCTAAACTAAGCAGACTTTATTTATACTGGATAGCTCTATCAGTTCTAAACTATTCTCCCTAAATGTCTACAGGTACATTTATTATTTACAAGTAGAAGACGTGCATTATTTGATAGTAAAATTGGAAGTGCCTCTCTGAGATGCGTTAAACAATACTTACTATCCTGCCGCAATACATCTTAGCACCATGGAGCTTCCTTCCACAACTTCCTCGTTAGGAATTTTTTCCATATTCGGACCGAACGATTTTCTTTCATCTGATAAAAATAATGATTTACAGTAATATTAAATTTATTTAGCTTTTAGTCAACTATTTTTTCCCTAAGTTCTATTAAAGCGCTATCCCGTACTGGCGATAGGCATGGTGAACCTTGCAGTGGCTGGATCTACCGCGGGTCTGCATATGGGAGTTAGCACCCCAATTAGTGATTTCTAGCAACCTCTGGGGATGTCCAGCACCTCGCTAAAAAAATCTGCTTGACCATACATTTTCTGCATTTCGAATAGCAATTACTGGAGCTTCTGCTGTTAGTGCGCGACGATTTCTTGAAACGATTTAATTGATTTATGAGCTCACGAGAAAATGCCCTGCTTTACTTTAATTGTCGTGGTTAAAAACGTAAACATGTGGAGGTTGTTATACAGTCATATTTTCAAATATACTGTACTTTATCAAGAAAATTTACTGTACTGTGTTGCAGCAACTTCCAGTCACACGTATGTGATAAAAATCTGATATAAACTTTATAAATAAACGAGAATTTAAAACGTAAGAATGGCGAGCATGCAGATTCAGTCATCTCAAGTAATGTTAATGTTGAGATAGTATCAGTATTAGTTTCGGGTTTCAAGCTCGGACACACTTTAAGTGTAGCACAAAAAAATTAAATATATTAATTCTTAAAGCTCTCGATCGCCACTAATTTTATACAGTTACTATTTTAAAACATCGTGATCTATCTGGGCTACTTTGTTCTTGGTATCCCCGAGCCGACGGCGCGAAGCGCCGCGTGAGGGTACTAATTCCCCCCAGCTATTTACACCCGGAAAAACGAAAGCATTGGCGAAGTCTAAAGTTCATCAATGATCGCGGGCGTTCACCAACGGTGTTGGAGTGTTGGGTGGGTGGTCATCACTGATCTCAAAATATGGCTGTTTGCCAGGAGTGAAGAAGGCAAAAAATATAAAAAAAATACATGTTAGAAAGCTTGGAAAATCGTTTCACATAACAAGTTGCACAACTTTTTTGCAATTTTTAAACGTAAACATTGATAAGAATTGATATTGTATGATAAATCCTAAAGTATAGGGCAAGTGTGTTTCAATTGTTTATGTATGACTTTGTATTTAATAATATAGACTTTGTTCTTGATGTTCAAGTCTTTCCTATGCATTGTTTGCGAAAGTTTCTTAGCTAAATTAACTTTTGTAGAAGTTCATGATAGAAAGGAAAGCACATTATTTTCATTAGCGTCCTGTACGAATTAAATTTGTTTCATTTCAAAGTGCGAGTAATAAGTTGAAGC